CCAGCCCTACCCCCAAGGGCTGTAGGGTGGGGCTCAAAGGAGTCAGTGTGCTAAAATTTCTTCATTTTCCTTGTTAAGAATCAGAGGTGCTAGTTTCAAATCCTTTTTAGTCTGAAATCTGTATGCTAGATATTGAGTAAGGTGGTTTTATTGTTTTTTGTCACTTTGAATAATATTTCTGTTCATGTTAAAAACAAAATCAACTCTCTGTATAAATATATCAGGTGACCGTTAAGGCCCATGGGCCTCTTGTTTAAATTCTCATCAGGACACATATTTCATAGGATTTTACAAAATTTATCTATAAGCAGTGGAAACCTATTGGTAACTCATTTCAACAATATCTAAATATGTGGTGTAGAAATGTCGCTTTATAGTCTTGTATTTTGAAGTATGATTACTTTGGCATACATATAGCTGTGTTATATACTGATGTAGTTAAATGACCATCCGACGCAGAATGGTTAAACAAGTTATGAGGTATATTTTAAGTTTTTTTATACCTTAACATCAATTACTCATATCAATATGTTACTTATATTTTGGTATTAAAGTTTATAAAGTTAATTATCAAAATTTGACCACATATCAAAGCATTTTTTTTTTTAAACTTTGAATTTTTTATATTGAAACCTATGACATTGTGTAGTCATTATATTGTACAATATTGACTGGTTCTGTTCTAAACATATAGTGCTTGGTACTGGCAATTACTCAATTACGTTTTAATCATCTGTACATATCATTTTATTATATAATAGCCTATTTTTAGGAAATTAGAAACCATTTTTACCATTACACTTACTTATCAAGAGTTGATACCTGTGTAAGTGACTTTTCGCTGTTAGATGTAGTTGTCTCCCCTTCCAATGAAGGGATACCTAGGCTACATTCGCGTATCCCAGTTGAAACGGTACGTGTGGCGCAGAAATTTTCCACAATAAACGAACGTACTTGGACCGTTCTATAAGCAGAGCTAAAAATGCACAGTTTTAGGGGAATGAAGGGATACCTATTGTATTAGTACTGTTTTTAGCTCACCTGGTCCGAAGGACCAAGGTGAGCTTATGCCATACTGTTGCGTCCGTCGTCCGTACGTCGTCCGTACGTACATCAACAATTTCTTTAAACGACTTCTTCTTAACCACTGATTGGAATTCAACTAAATTTGACTGGAAGCATCCCTAGGTGGTGGAGATACAAAATTGTACAAATGATGGGATTGACCCCCCAGGGGGCTGAGGGGCGGGGCAAAAAGGGGGACAATTTGGCTATACTGCTTTCAGCGACTTCTTCTCTGGAACTAAGAAGTGGATATCGACTAAATTTGACTGGAAGCATTCTTAGGTGGTGGGGATTCAAAATTGTACAAATGATGGGACTGACCCCCAGGGGGCTGAGGGGCGGGGCAAAAAGGGGACAATATGGCTATACTGCTTTCAGCGACTTCTTCTCTGGAACTAAGAAGTGGATATCAACTATATTCGACTGGAAGCATCCCGAGGTGGTGGGGATTCAAAATTGTACAAATGAGGGAGCTGACCCCCCAGGGGGCTGAGGGGCGGGGCCAAAAGGGATCAATTTGACAATATTGCTTAAAGCGATTTCTTCTCTGGAACTAAGAAGTGGATATCAACTATATTCGACTGGAAGCATCCCTAGGTGGTGGGGATTCAAAATCGTACAAATGATGGGACTGACCCCCAGGGGGCTGAGGGGCGGGGCCAAAAGGGTGCATTTGGCTATATTGCTACAAACGACTTCTTCTGTAGAACTATGCCATGGATATCAACCATATTTGACGGGAAGCATCCCTAGGTGTCAGGAATTCAAAATTGTACAAATGATGGGATTGACCCCCCAGGGGGCTGAGGGGCGGGGCCAAAAGGGGGCATTTGGCTATATTGCTACAAACGACTTCTTCTGTAGAACTATGCCATGGATATCAACCATATTTGACGGGAAGCATCCCTAGGTGTCAGGAATTCAAAATTGTACAAATGGTGGGACTGCCCCCCCAGGGGGCTGAGGGGCGGGGCCAAAAGGGTGCATTTGGCTATATTGCTACAAACGACTTCTTCTGTAGAACTCTGCCATGGATATTGATCATCTTTGGTCGGAAGCATTCATGGGAGGCAGGGATTCAAAATTGTAAAAATGGTGGGGCTGACCCCCCAGGCAAAGGGGGGGGGCCAAAAAATGTGTATTACTTGGAAATGGTTGAGATCCCCACCATATAACCATGGTATACAATTGCTTAGTATAAAGAGAAGAATGCACCTTTGCTTCCAGGATGGCTATAGGGCCTGGCCCCACCCTTGGAGACATAGTCCCTTGGCCATAACTTTAAGACTGTTGAGATCCCCACCCCAAAACTATATATACAATTGTTGAGCATAAAAAGACGCATGCAGTCATGATATTAGAATTGACCCCAGGGTCTGCCCCACCCTTGCAGACTTAACCCCTGGGTCATAACTTTGAAACGGTTGAGATCCCCACCCCAAACCTATATATACAAATGCTGGGCAAAAAGAGAGACATAAATGCAGTCACGATATTAGAATTGATCCTGGGGTCTGGCCACAACCCTAGGGACCTAGTTTCTGAGTCAAAGCTTGGAAACAGTTGAGATCCCCACCCCATAACCATACATAAAATTGCTGGGCATGAAAAATCTAATACAGATATGCTACAAGGATTGGCCTTGGGGTCTGGCATATTCCCTTGATCTCATTCGGAGAATATTTTGCCATGATTGCTTTGGTATCCAGGTGAGCGATACAGGCCCTCTGGGCCTCTTGTTTCTTATTGTCTCCCCTTCCAATGAAGGGATACCTATTGTATAAGTATTGTTTTAATATAGATATTGGCCGATATGGGGAAACATGTTTTTGTTGGCATAAAAAAAATATCCCTAATTTTCAGAAATTTAAACATTGTATATAGGTATGTAAATTATTTACCTAAAATTGTTAAATACCTAGTATGATTAAGTCATACTTTCCAACCTTTTGAAATTTTCGTGGGGAAAATTCCCTGTGCTCGAAAATAAAAACATTAATAAAATGTTTGCATATACCCCTAGGTAAAAAGAAAACCGTAAAATGACATACTTTGAGTTGTTCTTTCAGATGAAATCATAAGATCTTAGAATAAAGGAATAGTATAGCAAATTCAGTGGTTGGAAATGCTCAAGCTTGTTGGCAAGTATGGCTAATAGAGATGTACCACTACATGATGTGACATAAAATCTGCTTTGTCCTGTCTTCTAGTTCCCAGGTATACAAAATAATGGCTGGGATTCACTTCAATCAGGTTATATAATCATTTTTTTTGTTAAAAATAGTTGCATAATTATACAGACATACATTTAAAATTAATGAGGTGTTGGTTCAGAATATAGTTTTTATTATTATTTCTTGTGTGTTACAAGATAGTGGTAGATGTGATTTTTTTTTTAGATAATTTATGTGTGAAATCTTATCAACCAAATGTTTTTACTACCCAGTACCCTTAGCTGGTGCTAACATTACCTTTAAGTTTGTGCTAATATATTCCTAATCCTTTTGTTAAGTTTGTATCATTTTCCCCGTTACTTTTACATGATGCAGGATATCATGTACCTAAGTAGACCCGACTCCTGATTTATTTATCTGTTTGTGTGTTGCAGCGGTCCATCTCATATGTTTATTATCAATAGGTACTCATATTAATGTGTTCTAGTATCGAGGTGACAATTGGATTATATAATCAATTCCTTTC